TTAGTCTCTGTCGATCTGGCCGTTTCCAAACATACCACAAGCAGTGGGCCAGTGGGTCGGCAATCGTGAAGGCCTGCATGGTGCTGAAAGTATGTTTGCAGGCTTTTGGCTGTCCCCGTCAGTGCTCACACCTTTGCGTGGGGCAATTAACCCTGCAATCGTGTGCACTCGGAAGCTTTGCTGGGCAACACGTGCTTCTTCACAAGAGGCAACCTTGCGAGCATGATTCTGGCAACACTGCAAGACGTTTCAGAAGCGATTCCTCGCGTGGCCAAGTACGCTGCCGCGTGCATCGTGCTGCGGATTCACAGCAGCACTTCACCACCGTTTGGGGACATACAGCTGGCCCGTATCATAGGGATACGCGGTAAGGATGCAAGAGCCTTGGAGGGCCAAGTTGGCGTTTTTCGAACGAGGCTGGCCAGTGAAAGTCGCTAAGGATGGGCCGAAGGGGCAAGGATGACCGGGTAGCCTTGGAAAGGTTGCCCATCCTTACTGTGCGGGTTGACCCTAGGCACTCTGGCTAACAACGCAAACACTTCCCCCAATGTCCGCCACGTGGCGGTCGATCAGATGTCGTCCGACCCTCCGACCAACAGAGCGTTCATCCATGTGTTTTCGGCTCGTGCGGAGGGTCAGGGGCACTACAGTCGGCCCGCATCATAAGGATGCGCGATAAGGGTGCAAGGGCCTTGGACGCCCATGTCGACGCTTCCCGAGCGGGGCGCGGCTAACGAAAGCGGCCGCGGATGGGCCGAGGAGGCAAGGATGCAAGTCTACCCTTGAGAAGGCTGCCAATCCTTACTATGCGGGTTGACTGCACCTCGAGGGCCGCCTTGTTCCGAGCCCAGCCTGTCGAACGCGCCTTGAGCAAAAGTATCACGATTGTGAGGTTTTTGGGCGCTCGACCAACGAGACGATTGCAGACAACTCCCTCGGCTAGTGCACCGCAAAAGTGCGCCTCGATATTGGCCTTGGCTTTCTGGATGTCCGCAGCCAATTCCTGTCCGCGCTGGGTGAAACCGGGGATGGCTGGCGGGGAAACGCCGGAAGCGGGCAGCGAGAAGAAGCGTACAGCGAGCTGCAGCTGGTTGAATAGACGGCGTCGTCGCAATGATCCTCGTCGTCCTCGTCCTGTTTCGCCCTCGTACTGCCTTCTCGTCCTCCCTGTCCCTCCCCTCCTCGTTCTTTATCGCCCTCCTCCTCCTCCTCCTAGTGATGTGATCTGCCTCTCCCTCCCTTCCTCCTGCACCTATGGCCCCCAGTCCTGCTCTTCGTCGAGTATCCTGCTCCTGCTCCTGCTCCTGCTCCTGCTCCTGCTCCCCCTCCTCCTCCTCCTCCTCCTCCTCCTCCTCCTCCTCCTCCTCCTCCTCCTCCGCCTCGTTCGTCCTCATCCTTGCGCAACCATCATCTGATCGGTCTCTTCCTGTTCCTTCCCTAATCCGCCTCCTCATCCACCTCCTCTCTCCACCTGCTCTTCTGCCTCAACCTCATAGTCCAACTCATGTCCAACCCACCCACCCTGCCATGCTAGCCTTTCGGACTTCCCCATTTACTCCTCCTCCTACTCCTCTTCCGCCTCCTCCTCCTCATGATCATCATCATCATTGAGAGAGCGTGATCCACCGCCGCTTTACTGTGGAAAATTGCCCACCTTTTCCTCCGGAACCGGGGGTCGCCCCCCCCCCCCCCCCTCCGCCGAAAATCCCCCCCCCCCCCTGCTGAACCCTCCCCTCCCCCCCCCCTCTACCCCGGCAAAACGGGGGGGGTCCCTAACCCCTCCCCCCCCTCCCCTCGAAAACCGGGGGGGTCACTACCGGTTCGAACCCCTCCCCCCCCCCTCCGGATCGGAAAACCGGGGGGGGTCACTACCGGTTCGAACCCCCCCCCCCCCCTCGAAAACCGGAAGGGGGATCACTACCGCCGGTTCGAACCCCTCCCCACCCCTCCCACCCCCCCACTCACCGCCAGCAAACGACTCCCGGTCCCTACCACCGTCCGCATCACATCCTCCACTGTTGTTCCCAGCACCACTGTCCTCACCACCACTGTCCCCACTGTGTCCCCACCAGTGCCCCCACCACTGTCGCACTGTCCCCACTGTCCCCACCACTGTTCCCACCACGGTTCCACTCTCCCCACTGTCTCCACGGCCCCAACCACTGCCCGACTATCCCCACTGTCCCCACTGTCCCACTGACTCCGCCGCTGTCCCACTGACTGTCCCCACTGTCCCCACCACTGTCCCCACTGTCCCCACCTCCCCACTGTCCCATTGTCCCACCGTCCCATTGTCCCACCGCCGTCCTCGCCACCGCCTTCACCACTGTCCCCACCACCATTGTACCCTCCACTGTCCCACTGTTTCCACCTCATTCCCACTGTGCCCACACCACTGTCCCCACCACCACCGTCCCCACCACTGTCCACTGTCCCCACCACTGTCCCCACCACTACCGGCCCTCTGTCCCACTGTCCCACCCCCTGTCCCGCTGTCCCCTTTCGAGGGGGGGGGGGGGTCCGAACCGGTAGTGACCCCCCCCCTTTTCATGATGAGCTGGGGGGGGGGGGAGGGGTTCGAACCGGTAGTGACCCCCCCGGTTTTCCGGAGGGGGGGGGGGGGGTGGGAGGGGTTCGAACCGGTAGTGACCCCCCCCGGTTTTCTGCCAGCAGCGGTAGAACACGCTCTTTCTCATCATTACACCCCTCCTTCTCTCCTCACTACTCCCCATCCCCATGCCCAGCTGCTTACGCATCACCATCCCCACCATCGCGCGCTCCTCGAGCGTTCAGGTTCTACCTGTCTTGGAGCAGGACCGTGCCTCCAACAAGAACGGGGAACCTCGAGATTCGAAACCAACGCGATCGCTGCCGAAGGCGCGAGTAGGGTTAGTGATCGGGTCAGGCAGCAAGGCATCCGATAGCATACCACACCCGAGAGTATCATGTAGATCCCTCCGCTGCTGTCCTCAGCACCCCCGCGCCGCCCGAGCTCTCCAACGGCCCAAGTGCGCACGGTAAGGGGAACAAGGAAGGACTTGGGAGGCGGGCGTGGAAGAACAGGAGGAGGAGGAGGAGGAGGAGGAGGAGGAGGAGGAGGAGGAGGAGGAGGAGGAGGAGGAGGAGGAGGAGGAGGGGGGGGGAGGAGGAGGAGGAGGAGGAGGAGGAGGAGGAGGAGGAGGAGGAGGGAGGAGGAGGAGGAGGAGGAGGAGGCGGAGGAGGAGAAAAGGAGGAGGAGGAGGAGGAGGCGGAGGAGAAAAGGAGGGGAGGAGGAGGAGGAGGAGGGGGAGGAGGGGAGAGGAGGGAGGAGGAGGAGGGGGGGGGAGGAGGAGGAGGAGGGAGGAGGAGGAGGCGGAGGAGGAGGAGGAGGAGGAGGAGGCGGGAGGAGGAGGAGGGGGGGGGAGGAGGAGGGGGGGAGGAGGAGGGGGAGGAGGAGGAGGAGGAGCGGAGGGGAGGAGGAGGAGGAGGAGGAGGAGGAGGAGGAGGAGGAGGAGGAGGAGGAGGAGGGGGGAGGAGGAGGGAGGAGGAGGAGGAGGAGGAGGAGGGGAGGAGGAGGAGGAGGAGGATGGGGAGGCATGAGTGGATGGGCCCCCAACTGGGCCGGCATGCAGAGGCCTCGGGCGAGCATCGGCAGCGGAGGGGCCACGGCGCCAGAGCCGGCAGGCGAGGGCAGACTCCGCCTTGCCCATCCACCAAGGCCTCGCCAACGGCGATGTTGGTTAACGGTAAGGGGGAACGAGGAAGGACTGGGTAGGCGGGCGTGGGAGGAGGAGGAGGAGGAGGAGGAGGAGGAGGAGGAGGAGGAGGAGGAGGAGGAGGAGGAGGAGGAGGAGGAGGGGAGGAGGAGGGGGAGGAGGAGGAGGAGGAGGAGGAGGAGGAGGAGGAGGAGGAGGAGGAGGAGGAGGGGGGGGAGGAGGAGGAGGAGGAGGAGGAGGAGGAGGAGGAGGAGGAGGAGGGGGAGGGGGAGGAGGAGGAGGAGGAGGGGGATGTTGGAAACCAAGCTGTAGGATAGTTGTCCGAAATGTATTGACAGTCAGCCGACTGTCTGGGCGATCGGCCTGGCGGTAGCCCCTGCGCTCAGGAGCTCCGCTCGGGGCCGTCGCCGCTGCGCCGAGCCGCACTTTCCTGCACGTCCGATCTGCGGACGCATCGAGTGAGAACGACGCAGCGAACTGCAGGAAGGCACGAGCCACGCGATCCCACGATGCCGAAACCTGCATCGCCGTTATGCCTGCATCGCCGTCGGCGCGCCTACGGAGCCAGGGAGAACGGGGCCTATCCAGATCACCGTTGCAGAGGAGAGCCCTCAGTCCCACCGCCCTTGGAGGAGGGGAGGATGGAGCAGGGATGCAGGGCGAGGAATGCGCGGAGGAGGGAGGGTGAGGATGGAGGGCGAGGAGGGTGCAGAGATGGGAGGGCGAGGAGGACGAGGAGAAGGGATGGATGTTGAAGTTGCGGGTGAAGCATCACCCCCATATCATGCAAAACAACGGATGGAGGGGTGATGGGGAGATGGAGGGCGAGGAGGATGGCGGGGCGGGGAGGCCGAGGAACGCGACAAGAAACAGGGATGTTGAGGAGCATGACAAAGATGCCATCTCCTCCTCCTCCTCCTCCTCCTCCTCCTCCTCCTCCTCCCCCTCCTCCTCAGGAAGACGAAGATGTGATCCTCATCCTCATCCTCATCCTCCTTCTCCTCAGGATGGCCAGACCACGCGAGAGACAGAGAGAGAAGGAGAGGATGGATAATGAGGAGGAGAGTGGACGACGTGCCAGCCCAGTCACGCAAGCAGTCTATGATGAGCAACAGCGTGCAGATCAATGTGCTGTGGTGTCCAGGGAGTTGCGACAGGTAGTGGGATAGCCGCCTGAGTGACGGTCGTGCCCTGTGGTCTAAGCCAACACGGACCCATTGAGGACCGTGCATTTGCCCTTTGGAGGGCGTGGTGGCCAGGTGAGGTCGTGCCTGAGGCACGGAGCGCGCGCTGGTCGCTGGTGAATCAAGCGCCGGCCCGCCAAAGAGCCATGAGATCCTTGGCCGGAGGGCTGGGCGACCGCCTTGGAATCAGCTGGACGTAGGGGAGCCGATGGGGCCTCGGCGCCTGCTGGCCATCGCTCGGACGTCCATTCCCTGTGTTTTTTTCGGTTTCGTGCGTGGTTTTTTCGCCGAATGATTAAGGATGCTCCTCGATGGTCCTCGCCGAAGGAAACATGCACACGTCCGAGCGATGCCACGCCTGAGCAGTAGTTGCCTCGTGAGCGTGTTGGTGGTCCTGGCACTTTTGTCGCTCGAGCACCTGGCGGGCCCGCTGTGGAGACGCGCGGCAGCCCTGGTGTTGCAAGGCGGTGCTCGGCGCGGGCCGCCCCTGGGAAATGCCGGACACTGGAGGAACTTTAACTGGCCATCGCTCGGACGTCCATTTCCTGTGTTCTTGATCGGTTTCGTGCGTGGTTTTTTCGCCAAATGATCAAGGATGCTCCGCGATGGTCCTCGCCGAAGGAAACATGCACACGTCCGAGCGATGCCAAGCAACAGGCCGACGTCAAGTCAGTTTGCCCAGCAAGCCAGGCCGCGGCGGCAGGGGCCGTTCGCTTGAGGTCGGCAGTGCAGGCGGTGAGAATGAGTCGGGCCTGGGGCTCTCGGCGAGCGCCTGCGGGCGGGTGGTCCGCAGCTGCCCCGGTGCCATCCGGAGCGTCGGTCTCGTGATCGTCATGGTGGTCCTGGCCGGTCGGAGGGTCAGTGGTGGACCTCGCCTCAGTCTGCCAAGCCATCTCGGTCTGCCAATCCTGGTGGTTTCCTGACTGGTACCACGCTGTGCGTTGGTCTCGTGAGCGCGTCGACTTCCCCAGGGCTCTTGGCGAGCCCCTGGGGTAGCGTTGTACCTCGAACCCTTGGCGGGGTGGAGACGCACAGTACGGCCTGTCAGGCACGGAACGCCCCAACGCGTGGCGGCGTTTGGAGCGGGTCCGTGGGTGGCGACGCCGAGGCTGTCGGATTCCCGCTGACCGTTTGACTTGTGAGCGAGATAATACAGGCGGTCGTTGCCATCTCGCGACGGGAAAACATATATAGAGAGCCTATCAATGCACGTGGTTTTGGATGTAGAGCGCGTTGCGCGGCAAAGCTTTCAGATGTACCAAACTCCAGGTCAGCAGTGCCCATTGCATTTTGCCGGGAGGAAGACATGTTGACCCAAAACTGTTAGGGAGGAGCCGATGTGGTGATCGACCGTGCCAGAGGGCGCGGTCCCGCTGTGCTCGCTTAAAGGACAAACGCGTGCTCTGCTGCGGCAATCTCGGCACGTTGTTGCCGTGCATCAGCCGTCGCCCCACGAGCGAGCGATGCCTTCAGCTTGTGACGCGCGGCGCGGCAGAAGATCGCGCAGGATGTGCCGTTGCATTCGCTGTCGGCCTCTAGGCTTTAATTATTAAATTCGGTGGGGAGAGGGGGGCAAGGAGAGGAACTCACGGAGAACAGGGCAGTATAACTAGTGCGACATGGAATCAGGGGCGCCACTGCATCCAGCGAGATAGTCGATCACTTCATGCGCGCGACGGGAGGTCGTCCAGCCGCCATCGCGGGTCTTTAGAAGCGGCCACCGGCAGGCCAGTCGCTCCAGCGCTCCGCAACCGCGCCGCTAAGACTAAGAGTGTCCAGCAAATCCTAAGCGTGCAGGCGCATAGGGATGGCAATTTCGAATGAAGGCGGGCAGAGAGAGGCTCGAAGCGAGGGGGGGGGATCGGTTGGACCTTCGGCCTGCGCGCGCTGGCGAGGGCGGTGGCCTGCTCATGGCGAGCCATCTGCCGCCCCTTGCCCCAGCGGGACCTAAAAATTCCACGGAGCGGTGGCTCGCGCAAAAGGGACTGACAGCGCCGAAGGCTACCACGCCCGATCCTCCAGCAGGGTGCGCCCCGTGCGCATTGCAACCGCCCTGCGAGGGGGCGCGCGTGCACCGCCGGTTCGGACCGCTCGTCGAGCTGCTGCTGCCATCCTTCGAGAGTGCGACAGGCGCAGCGCCGCAATCTCGACGCGCCTAATCTGAGGGCGGTCACAGGGGCAACGAGATTGTGTGTCTTGAGAGCAAACAAAGCAGCCTTACATAATGTACTCAGCGGCAGCCGCAGCAGTGCGTGCGGGGCGAATTTCTCTCTGAGAGGCACAGGACGGGGCAGTACATAGAGTTGAGCGAAATAACAAAACGTGAGTAGAGCAGTGCTATCGTACAGTAGGATGCTCGCACTGGTCGGGCACTCAGCGCGTGGGATTTCGACAGAGCGAGACCACCATCTACGAGCCGCTTCAAACCGGATGAGCTGTTCCGTCGCGCCTGGACCAAACTGAACACCCAGGTAGTTATTTGGCATGCGAAGCAAACTTAATGTCCGCCCAGCGAGGAAAGTGCTCCCGCAACAATGCGCGGATTCTGTGAGATACATCGGGGGCGAGGTCTGCCCGGGAAGGAACAGTCACCGTCTTACTTGTTTGCAGTTGCACGTGCGCCAATGTCTCCGCGCGCTGAAATACGGGGCGAGCCCAAATCAGATCTTGCAAGCGGGGCTGCGCCGGCCCAGGATCGCCGGCGCGACCTCCGATCTCCCCCCGACGCTTGCCGAGAGACAGACGACGACGAGACGCCCCCCGCTAGACGTCGCAAGATCGGGCCCATCGCCATGGCCCGCACCGAGCCTGACAGTGGACGGCCCTGCGTCGCCCCAAATTGGACATAAAACAATAACTGCTGTGATCCCTGGATCTCAGCAAACCCCCGCGGGCTGAAATAAAAGGGAGCAACGTAGACGACGCGGGCTCTTGGGCACAAAGCGCTCGAGGACCGACCGCTGCCAGTCGCGCCCGTGGGGCGGGAAAGCAGCGGCGGCGTCAATAACGACGAAGAGAGGGGTGTTGGCTGCTGCGCATCCGAGGATGCTGGCTCTGCGCGCAGCCTCGTCGAGCCTCGAGACGTCGCCTGAGAAGTCCATGCCTGGCACGAGGCTCTGCTGGACATGCGCGCGCCATGTCCTTCGCCAAACATGTTAGCTCGCGACTCGCAACTGGGACCGACGTCTTGGCGCCTGGACTCCGCCTACAATCAAAAAAGCGATTCAGGAAATTATCCCTTGAGAAAGCTGGGCCAGTTTTTTTTTTTCAGAAGTTTCTCAAGGGAGCGCTGGGCCAGCTTTTGGAGCCAGGAACGCGCGCTAACTATTTATTCCTAAGATCCAAGGCTACCAATCCCCTTGTGGCACTGAGCCAGCTTTCCGGCAAGTTGGCCAGGAAACGCTGGGCCAGCTTTTCAACAGGGAGGCTTCTCAATCACAAGCGGGGCCGCAAGCTGCGATGGGGCCCCCGATGCGCCCGCGCGCGCCGAGAACCTCGCCGACCTCTGGCAGGGGCGCGAAGCCCGAGTCACGGAGGGGCTCTGGGGCGCGGCGGCCGGCCACGAGGTGCCGCGGCAGCCCGCGGAGGCCGCGCGCTGGGGGCCGCCGCGATGGCCGTGCCCCGGGCTGAGCGGCGCCTGCCAAGGCGCCTCTGGACCTCCAGCTTGTCCGCCGGTTGCGCCCGAAAGACTTTGGACCGAAAGGGGCGGGCCGCCTCTTGGACCTTCCGGGGGCCCCTGTCGGCGGCCCCTGGAGGGCCCCATGGGCGCGCCCTGGTCGGGCCCCCGCAAGAAGAGCATGCGCCCCCTCGGTCTCCAGGTCACGGCCTCTTGGCGAATGGCCTTGATGAGTTTGACATGACTAGCAGCAGCTCGGCGGGCCCCCGCCCGCTGGGCCGCGGGCCGCTTGAGCAGCAGGAGCGGCGCGTAGTTGGTTGGCCCCCAGCACTGCAGCGTGCGTCGACCTTAATTGCCTCCGACGCGCGTCAGGCGAAGGAAGAAGCACAATCCCATCTTGAACAGACAGGAAGCGCTGTCCATCCTCCAATGTCGAGATGGGTAGCGCTGCCACTTGAATGCATCACTGCCAGACGGCCCTCGATATGCTGTGTAATGTTACGTCGTGATCACCTCGAGCTCTTTTCTCGCCTTCGCGGTCAGGCAGACGCATAAGTTCATATCTGGTTTATTTGGCTGCCTTCCGCATGACCGCGGAGTGCGTCCTGGTTCCTTACGTCGGTCAACGCCGCATCTGGGATGTGCCGGTCACCGGCGCTAAATGGCACCGCGCCCTTCAGCGCGTGGTGCACGATCGAGTGGTCGCTGAGCCTGGCCTGCGGCATCTCCACAGGGCCCGCGTCGACGTTGAAAGGAATGTCAGCGTCGAGCAGGTAGTGCTCTGGAATGCCGATGGCCAAGACCACGCGGCGCTGCCTGCTGAAGTGCGTCGGCATCTCCGAGCGAATCGCCTGACTGAGATCAAACAAGCGAGCGCCTGAAAGCTTCGCCAGGCTGGTCGGCACGGGCGCCAGGTAGCGGGGTAGACGAGGGCAGCGGCTCGTCGCAGCTTAGTTACACCCCCTCCCTGATGTCGTAATCGCAAATGGCAATGAACGTCCGGGTCAGAAGTTCCCCCTTGTTCCAAACAACCAGGCCGCGCCAAGAGGAGGCGGTGATCGGCTTGTCGGCGGGCGAGATGCCAGTAGCTGTGGATACTCATGATCTACATGGCGACGTTGGGTTCAGCATGGAAAGAAGCGCGGCCCGTCCAGGCACAAGGTTATGACATTTTACACCTGGGCGTTGAGCACATTGCAGATCACGTGGCCGAAGAAGAAGAAGAAGAACACACAACTCCGCCTTCATGCGCCTGCGATGCTTGGGAATGGTAGACATTGTAGTGGCACGAGGAACTGCCGATGAACACCTCCAGCTGTTCTCGTAAACCCGCGCGTTCCTGCGCTTCCGTTTTCACGTTGCGTTCGAGCTTCAGGAGCTTGCGGCGACGCTGGCGAGCTTTGAAGCTGCCCGGTCCACGAGCGCCCCAAGAAACTAGTTGAGCGCCTCCCTGCGGCGCCTGCTCCAGTCAGGGGCTCCAGCGCGTGCTAAACCGACCGCGTGGATGCATCAGTAATCCGAAATGCTCGCGGTAATCCCAGCAGCCCTTTGGGCGACAGGTGGTCTAAGGAGGGTCTCCTTCCACTTCCACAACCCCTCACCCCTCCAGGGGGGCCCCCCCCCCCTGCCCGAAGATTTTTTAATGATGGGGGGGGGCCGCGGCGAGTCAGAGCGCCCTTTTTCGGCCCCTGGGGGGGCGCCCCGCGAGGATCGTGGCCCCCGAAGGGGGGGCGGAGATAATGGAACCCTTCACGTGGTCGATTGCCTCCAAGATGGCCCCAAGAGGGCCCCCAGGGTTCCCGAGAGAGCCCGGGGCAACCAAAAGAGCGCTCCAAGAAGCCCCAAGCGGCCTCCAAGAGGCACCCGAGAGGCCCCCAAGATGCCCCCGAGCGGCCTCGGAGAGCCCAAGGTGACCTCCACGACGGCGCACATGGCCCGGCTCCCAAGATGCTCCAAACGGCCCCATGACCGCACCAAGACGGCTCGACACGGCCACGGGGCCTCGCAAGCCCCCCTCGCTGTTTGACTATGCGTGCCTCTTCCTCTCTCCCCCCGTCAAGTCTCGTGAGCGTTGTTTCTGGATCGGCTGGCGGGGATGCGCGAAGCGTCAGGAATAGTCAGCGGGTCGATGCCCAAGTGATGAAGTGCAGCTTCGCCCCGGCGCAGTTGCGTAGCAGCCGCTGCGTCGTAGCCGACCTCCACATAAACAATGGGAACAGAGCCGCAGGACGCAATCCCGTCGCCGCCAACCTTGCGGAAGACATGGGTAAAAAGGGCCAGCATGTCGTTCGGCAAGCATTCGGAACAGTCATATTGCATGAGGATCGACTCGAAACTGCTCGGGGGATTTGTCTGCGTTGATGCGCAGAGGAGTGGCGACACCATTCGTGGTGTCCCGCTGAAAATGCATTCCACTGCCCGCCTGTGCGTCAATTCCGCGCCACTGATGCGCCTCGAGAAGATGCCGCTGGCCCCCCGCCCCCCGCGACGCTCGCAAGGCGGATCGTCGCGCAAGTGCGCCCCCAGCCAAACCCACATCATACACTGCCACTCAAGCTGCGGTAATCCAGGGCTCGAACGCCCATCGTACTTCAGCAGGGATGGCTGATGGTGCCCCGATGGTGGTAGGAGGTCTGTCCCAGACGGCAGGAACGGCCATGCCCAATGGGGGTAGGTTGGCCTCAGCCACGGCTAGGGGCGCTTGAATGCGTTCAACATATTCACGCAGCCGCTGTTGCTCCTGCTCGGCTGCGAAAAAGAGCGCCGGTTGAGCTCCCGAGCGGCGGGGGAAACAGCCGTGGAGATGGGGGGGGGGGGAGGGGGGGAAAGGGTGAGGATGGGGAGGGGAGGGGGAGGGTGATTCAATCCGGTTCGATCCGAAAGCATTAGGGACCAGTTCGACGACATTTCGCTACAGCACGGCAGTTGCCATGCCTCGCGCTCAGCGTGGTGAGAAGGCGCAATGCAACAATATTCGCCTTCAAAATATGAAAAGGATGCTACGCATCACGGCGCAGTTTCCAGGTTTCAAGAAACCTCGGTCCCATGCGGCTAAGCTGCCAACTCTCTCGGCTTTGGGTCGTGGCCCTGCGGCGGCCACATGGCCGCTGGGCCGAGAGGAACGACGCGGCGCGGAGGCCCTCGCGTCGACCCCAGCGGCACCAGCAGCACCTCAAGACATGGATCCCGTCCCCCGCCCGCTACGACGACGACCGCCTCCGCCCCGACCACTCCCGCCCCCGTCCTTCTTGTGCTCGCTCAGAGTGGCAAAAAAATACTGGCGGCCTGGGCAATCGCCCCACTGGCCATCAGTTCTCGAAATCTGACACTCTTGGCAAAAACTTCTGGCACGTGCATGCGAGCTCGAGCGCAGCTGCGATCTGCCGCTCGAGAGGCCCCCTCGGCGGCGCCCCTGCAAGCTGCGCTGCTTTGCACTCGGCCAACGCCGAGTCCATCAACGACTTCGCCGCCTCTGGAGGCGGCCGCAGCGCGAGGGCCGCCTTCGCATTCCCCTGCGTCTTCTTGCTGCCTGGCCCCCTCGGCGACTTCACTGCGTAGTGCCGGGCAAGCGACGCCGTGAACTGGGGCGTTTCATCCTTCGGATATTTCTGGGAGGAAGCGTCGGCTGCTGCTTGCACCTGCCCCGATCCCCGCGCAGTCACGGCGCGGCGCCGGTATGGAGAACGCAGCGATGAAAGGCGGCCCTGGACTCGAAAGATCCACGTCTTCTCCCGCCTCTTTGCGCTTGTCAATCTCTGCCACCGCGTCCGCGTAGAATTGGTTGGCCGCGAGCCCGCGCCTCGCCAGATGAGACTCGCTCGGCGCGAGGAAGGTCGACAGCGCGACCGACGAGAGCAGCGCCTGCTCGCGAGCGGTGACAAGTGCCAGCGCCGCCACTTTGTGGGGAATCTATATTTATCCTTTCTCGCCTTTGCCGTTGCCCTTGGCCTTCTTGGGCTGTGCCCCCGTGCTTCCGTCTGCATATGCTGTGCGCTTTGGGGCGATGGCCACTTCTGCCCAGGGTGCGAGCTCCTCTTCTCCGGACATTGCTAGGTCCAGCTCGACGCGCGGGAGCGCGCTGCAAGCGGCTGAGAGCGCGCTGGTTGTAATCAGTCATCTCCAGGGAAGTTGGGCCGCAAACTCTGCGCTGCATATTCTCGGGCACCAAGAGCCCCGCCAGCGCGGGCGCTCTGTTTCGAAGCCATGGAGAAGGGCCACTTCTAGATGTTTGCAAGCCGTTAGCCTCTCGCTAAAGACCTCCTTGCAAAGCGCGCGTGGATTCGTTGAAGTGATGGCATGCGATGTCTTTACACTGCTATGTACAATGCGAATGTGATTAGCGAGACCAGACCTACAGCTAAACGCGGCCCCACGGGGGCCCGTCGAGCCCCCCCGCGGGCGCGCGTGACAGCGTTCAGTTAAAAGGGCACTAGCTTCAGCTTCTTTGGGGGGCCCATTGAGGGGTTCCCGAGGGGTGGAGACCCCGAGAACAGCACTCCTGAGCATGGTGACGTCGATGCGTTTAAACCTGGCAGAGAACTCAAGCAAAATAAATGTTAAGCCGTACCTCGGGCATCTTTCCGTCGGTCCCTTGCTTCCTCGGACACCGGCACAAGCTGCTCAGTGTCCTCGTGGACTCACAGCGCCCACGGGTTCGCACCAGGACGATTCGAACAAACAGCTCCAAACGCAGATTCTCATAGAAATGTGCCAGAACAAGCTCCTAGAATCTGTCTGTGAGATTCTGGATGCGCTCGCGTGCTTTGAAACTACTTCAGCCTGCGCACTCTGAGTTCGGTGCCGAGAGGTATGATCTTCCAATAGTCAAGCACCTGCCTGGAAGACAAACAGCGAACATGATGCGCATCTTCCCAGCTCGTTTTACCTCTCATGGCACGTCTGCGCAGTCCCGCCACCGCCAGTTCAAGCTTGCGGAGCTGACCTGAGCTTGGAAATAAAAAAACACTCAACTGCAGACAGGGTTGATTAGCAACGTGGCAAAGCAGCACGCATCGCTTCCAGCGATAGGAAATGTTATTCATCTGTCCAAAAAAGGTCCCATGCGAAAGTATGCTGTCCTCGCCGCTTGTATGCTTCTTCCTAGTTCAATCTGGAAGGATTGCGCGGCGGTCAGGCGAGGGCCAAGAAACCTGACCGACTCTCCGCGTCCACGTGCTTGGCTGCGCAACAGATGGGCCACCCTCCTCTTCGCCGGTGGTGGGTCGTAAAAACTGGCCTGCTGCTTCTTTGGATTTCGCATGATACCAATCCTCTCAAGCTCTTCGCCCAGCCAAACACCATGTCGTCGGATGGGGCGCGTGGCCATACCAAAGAAAAAACGTGGTCCCAGCCCAAGCTGTTTAAACGTATCACCAGCAAGCTTTGTTAATCCCAGACACGCTCTCTGAGGGGTTAAGACTTCGCACTCGGCCGACAGTAGCTGTTCCATGGGGCCCTCCTGTCGACGCCTCGAAACCCAGCAATCGACCGACGGACGAAACGCGTGGGCAAACGACTCAACGGCAAGAGGATCCCCTTGGAGCATGCCGTCGCCTGGGCGCAAGAGGAGGCCTCCTTCTTCTGCAGGGGTGGATGCGCATGCGAGCTTGTGCCTCTGCTGACAAAGACGCATCGCCGATCCCTTAGCAATTCCACGATCTGTTTCGCCCGCGGACGGCCAGGCAGGGGGCGCGAACGCATTGCGCAGGTCCTTGAGCGAGTCCGCCCAATACATGCCCGCATTATTCCAGCGCCACGACGTGCAGAGATTGGTGGCAATCGCGTCTTCACGCCTTCTCCCCCGAGGAAATCCATGATCCATCTCAGAAGAGATGCGCGGCGGGCCACCTTCGATCGCGCGAATCAAAAAGCCTTCCCGATCGGACCCAGGCCGCGCGCAACTCCGCGGCCCGCAGGACCAGGGAGCGCACTTTTTTGCGCGGCGAAGACTTGGCTACAAGACCACAAACTCGGGAGAAGACCCGTCTGTCGGGTAAGGGAAAAACTCTGCGGGGCCAGCTTCTAATCCTCTCGCCGCAGATCGGGGGGGGGGGGGGGTCGAGCCGAGCCCAGCGCGGCGACGAGGGCCCTCCCCGTGGGGGCTCACCAACCCCAAGGCCCCGCAACTCGACGGGCAACGACCACCGAGGCAGCGACCACCGAGGCACCCCCCTTCCCCGAGGCACCCACCGGGCAAAAAAAACAAGGTCGCCCATGGCATCCCTATATGATTGCGCCACGCGCTCCTGTCTAAACGCTGGTGGAGCTGGTGGCCTCGCGAAGTGCTGTCGACCCTTCCCCGGGTCCCCCCGCTCCAACCTAGTCGCCAACATCCCCCCCTCTCCTCCTGGCTTGGGCCATGCTGCAAGCCATTCTGCCTGCGTTGGCAGCGCGCCCTGAAGCCTAGAGAAATCTCGTTTCCCACTGCCACATCTGCCGCCGACGAGCCTAAGGCTCAGCCTGTGCACGGTTGCAAGGTCGCGGCGCTGCCGGCAACATAAATTTCCTCCACCAGGGCCTCGCTCTTCGCCTTGAACCACTGCTGCCGGGCCCTGGCGCATGTTATGATTACTGCTCTGGGTCTCTGCATGCAGCTCTCGCGCTCTGCGGCGGGACACTCGTGCAGTCTCTCATGCAGCAGTCAACGATCTTCCAGCAGACGAGGTCTCTCCGCCTTGTGGGGGTCCGTATCCGTGGGGGCGTCTCTGTTGAGCAATTTGACCCCCTCCTCTCGAAGCACGTCATCTAGTCGTTTCAATATGTTCTCCGCCGGGCGCATGTCAACATTATTCTCCGTCTCCGTCAACCTCTTCTCTACAGCAGTCAGGAATGTGTGTATATCATGAGAGCCGCGCAGCGCCTGCATCAACTTGTCCCCGTCCCGTTTCACCGATAAATGCTGTTTTCCATTGGGGGCTGTCCATGCCGTTTGTCGCTTCTGGTCGAAGTCCATGTCGATCTCCACTCTCGCATGGAAATATCTTGACGCCGATTTGCGATCCGAGAGCTTGGGAGAAACGGCACTGTGAGCGCATAGAAGGAAACTCCTTTGAATCGAAACTATACTCCCAGTCCCCTTCCTTGTAACATGGTTGGCGGCATATCTATCCTTCTGATTGTCTTCTGCGGCCATCTCGGTGGTAAGGCACATGTGCATCCCGCGCTCCTGTTGCTAAGCTCTGTTGTTTTCCATCCGACAACGACCACAATCCTGTCTAGAACTTTCGATACTCCACATCTCTGCTGTGGTAGTGCGTTAGTTCCAGTGCCCTGCACACCTATCATACCAAAAATAAGAGCCTCTGAGCATATATCCTCCAGTCCAGGTTGTGCTCCATATAAGCAGCTGAGAGAAATAATCGCTAAGGTGTACGTCACCATCTGCTCCTAGTCATCAGCCACATATAGGGATACTATGTGCCGATCAAGTGATTCCGCGGTCGCAAAGCAGGCTCACAGCCTTGGACCAGAGCGGCGGCGTTGGATGATGATGATGGTGATTATGAAGATGATGATGATGATGATGATGATGATCATGATGATGATGATGGTGATGATGATGATGATGATGATGATGATGATGAGGGGGAGGAGGGCGGCAGAGGATAGAGTGATTGGGTTGGGCCTCCTTCCCGCCTTCTCCTCCTTCTCCTCCTGCTTTTCCTCCGCATCCTCGTCGTCCTCCTCCCCCGCCTCCCCTCATACAAAAAGTGTGCGACGGGGCTCTCACGTGGTCAACTCTTGGCTGTTTGAGGACCCTGTGGGCCCGCGACGTCCTCTTGGAGCCTTCTTGAGACTTACTGGGGCAATATTGATGCTACCGTGGGCCTTCTTGAGCTCGCGTGAGGCCGTCTTGAAGCCTTCTTGGTATATCTCGGAGCACTTGTGTGCCGCATTGGGGCAATGCTGCGTCGTTTTGGTGCCCTCTTCGGCCATCCTCCTTTGTCCTACTCTGTTCCCCATACGCTTTCCTCATCCTTCCAACCGACCAGTCATGTTGTTCCCCGCACTGCGCCCCTCGTCCTAGTCACTATCCTCTTCCTCCTCCTCCTCACCCTTTCCCTTCCCATGCTCCTCCACGGCCTCGTCCTCGACATCCTCGTTCAAATCTTCTCCGCCGACTTCCCATAATCGCATTCGTTATCTTCTTCCTCGTCATATTCCTCGTCCTCGTTCGCGCCACCGTCTCCGTGCTCCTGTCCTCCTTCACAACCTCGTTCTCCTCACTCGCCCTTGTCATCATTGACCTCTACCGCCCAGACGTCATGCACTGACTCCCCGAATCCGTGCACAAATCCTGGCTGGCATCCGCACAAGCCCTATCGCGACTGATGCTTGAGATATGTTGCAAGACATTCCTGCGCGGCATCCGAGCGTCCCTCGCGCAACGCGTGCCTCGGAACAAAATAGCAAAGGCACAAAGGGATAGCGAAATCGAAACATCACCAGCGGCAGAACAACCTAGGAACTCAAACCAGGAGCGTGTGAGGGAGAAAGAGAAAGAGAGGGAACTACATACACATACACTACGAAGGAGAAATATAAAGAGAGAGAACAAAAAAAAGAGAGGGAGAGATACAGGTAGAGAGAGCTAGAGAGAGAGAGAGAGGCAGAAAGAGAGAGAGAGAGAGAAGAGAGAAGCCGGAAGAGAAAGGGAGAGATAAAAAGAGGGGGGAGAGAGCGAAAGAAAAGCGTGAGAGACATACAGAGGCAGAGAGAGAGAAGGAGAGAAATAGCGAGAGAGAGAGAGATGAATATATATATATATATATCGAGAGAGAGAGAGTATCTATAGAAAAAGAGGGAGAGGGAGAGAACGAGAGAGAGAGAGAGATAGAGAAGTATAGAGACATTTAATGCTCGCGGTCCTTAGACTCCCCCTCTCCGGTTTTGATCTCGTACGCCAAGTTCTTCGACCGCTCCTGAATGCAGTCTTTACACCCCGTCCACAAAGCTCTCGTCACCCTCATGATTTCCCAGCGCCCCCCCTTAGGACAACAAGCCAAACAAACGCCGTGCTGCAACACGACGCTCCCGATGTGACCCCCGATGTCCACCAGCGTGCCTCTGGCACAGAGTGGAGTGCACCTGTGCTCATGCAGCCCTGAGAGGTAGAGTGTGTGTAATAGAAGGCTTGGACATGAGCACCAACACCTGCACAGGGAGTTGCCTACACCGAGGGAGGATGATCCTAGATTTCGGTGTCGGTGGTCATATTTCGGCCACCTAGGAAGCCCGAGTATTACCACCATCGCCGAGATTGGGATCTTCTTCCCTCGGTGAATGCACACCGCCGATCGGTGTCAACCTCTAGGCCTGCGATGTAAGGTTGTTATGGCCCAGACCCCGGTTTCCCGAACGCTCCCAGGCGCTGGCGGGCGCTTCCCGGGTGTTTCGCGCGGGCCGCCGGGACGGTCCCCTCACTAAGGAGGGCCTACAGCGGGCCAGGAAAGCGCCGGGTGGCCGCCCAGACGGTCCAGGACGTCCAAGGTGACCGCCAGACGGCGCAAGAGGCCTCGAAGACGCCCCAGCTCGCCTCCAAGAGCACTCCCAAGAAGGCCCCAAGAGGCAACAATCATTGATTTAAAACAAGTTTTGAATGATTGTAGCGCTGTCGCCTTTTCGGCTCCCCGACGCTCCAAGATGGCCCAAGAGCCCCCCAACATCGCCCCAAGACAGCCGAAGAGGCCTCCAAGACGATACACGCCCAGCGGCGAAAATGAGGGGAAATAAATCAGTCTACTGCCCCTCCTCCTGCTCTGCTTGCTGCTTGTGGTGCTGCATCTGTAAGATGCACAAAGATCTCGGCGCCAGCGGATTGCGCGGGTGCGCGTGCGAAGGCGGCCCCTTCGCCTTTGGAAAGACCCCCGCTTTGGGGGGCGGCGGTGGGCCCGAGTGTGCTAGATGTTTTGGGGCTCGGTGGCTCGTTCGACCCCAGAAGACACTCTTCATGCAGATTTCCATGAGCGTTGAGACAACGCGAATGGCGCATTCAAAGGCGTGCGCCGCACAACAAGAACAGCCATGTGGAATGCGATATGGCCGGCTGTCGCATCGCGAAGTTCAATCACATGAAAATGGGCTTGAAACTCGTCTGGAAGTATCCTGACGTCGATATGACGTGAATTCCGCGTCCATCCGACACTACGCAAGAATGCCAGGCACGTAGGGTCACTGATATGACTGACGGTGAATACGTCTGACTACCAGGATCCGAAATATTGCGAAGTAGCTCGCCCTCGTGATCGCCATCGTCGAGGAACCGTCTTTTCTCGCCACCATCGTCGCTCTGGACGGGGGGTGGGGGGCAGTTGGAATGACAACAACCGGTGGCATCAGCAACCGCCCTCGGCAACTGTGGCGGAACCCAGAAACTGCCCCAGCTGCTCAACCTCGAAACTAAGGTAGCACCAATGTGCGAGTGCGAACCCAACGGGCAGCCCCCCCGGGCGGGGGGGGGACGAAGGCATCAGTGTTAATGCTCCGAGAAGCCTCGCTAAACTGGAGAGCAGAATAACAGAATAACCACCCTCAACATTAACACCCCTAGTCTAAGCCCTGTAATAAAAACACACACATAATGAAGGACTCGAAGAGGGCAGGAGCGTATCCGCCACCGTGCCTGCACGGAGTAGGCGTGTTAGAATGCTCGTCTGTTGCCTGTGCGTTTTCTATGCTAAATGATCCTATGGCCGTGCCCCTCCCCTGTAGGCATGCGTCCCTGAACAAGAACAACCGTCTGGAATTGCTTTCTGGCGGTCGTTGCCAAGATGGCCTCGAAGACGGCTTCCAAAACAGCCAATACGAAAACAAAGCGGCTCAAGATGGCCCAAGGCAGCTCAAGAGCTTCTCCTGACAGCCTCAAGACAGCCCAAGAGGCGCCCAAGATGGCCCCAAGACTGCCCCACAGGCCCTTACGACGTCCTAAGAACCTCCACGAGGCTATCCTGGAGAGCCAGAGGGAGCCCACACATCATTGATTTTACTTAGGATGTTGAACGACTTTGAGGTTCTCGCCTGTTCGGGCTTCCGACCACCCAAGACGGCCCAAGAGGCTTCCAAGATGCATGCAAAATTATCCCAAGACAGCCCAAGAGGTCCCCAAGAGGGCCCTACGTCCGCCCAAGAGGACCCCGAAATCGCCCAAGGGGCGCCCAAAGATGGACACCGAGACGGCCTTGAAGCGCTCCAAGAGAGCAGCACGCCAGCGCAGAGATACCTCTTGGGCTGTTTTGGCAGGCGGACCCCAAATGTACCAGAACCTTTGAATCCTTCAAACTATAACGGGCAACACACAATGGTGTTGGCATCCTCGGGCTCTCCTGGAGGGCCTCTTTTTTTTCTGCCCGCAGCGCACACACATTGCTCAATGGCTCCGTAGTAGTGCGTGACAACTCTCGGGCGGCTGACTACCATGCCAGAGGGAGGGGGAGGAGCAACAGAGAGAAGGAGGAGGAGGAGGAGGAGAGAGCAAGGATAGTGCACAGTACAGCAAAGAGACATGCAACCCATAAGGCGACGCGGCAAATCGAAAAAAACGCCCGGATTCCTATCGCGCGGGAGGCGGGAACAAGAAGGGGAGCGGAGGAACGGGGGACGGGAGGCAAGGGAACAGCAGGCCGGAAGGCACACTGAACTCGTATTGAGATGAACGGGTCACCTACCCCACAGGTAAACGGCAGCATTCGAAGGTGACGCGGGCCACCAACACTAGCTGAACGCACAAGGAGACGTGCCCGGCAGACCCGACCGCAGGCACAGGGGGCACAAAGCTGTGCTCAAGAACTGGGTGCGCAGCACTCGCCAGAGAAGAAAGAACTAGGGGCGGCCATGTGAGAGCCATACCCAGCCGAAAACACTGTGCAAGACTGCGGTGGCCCAGAGAAGACCAGGGCGGCCCGCAGGGTCGGACAGTGCTGAGCGAGGGAGCGGCCTCGACCAACATGCAAGAGGTGCGCAAGCACCAATTCGGAGCAGAGAGCGTGGAGGGGAGGGGAGGAAGAAAGAGAAGGGAAGGAGAGAAGCACATTCGCTCGGCTGCCCTCAGAGCATGTTGTGGTCGCGAATCGGGACCTCCCGAAGAGCCGCCGACGGGATCGGCGCGAATGCGCCGTCGATGAGAACCACGAGGGGTTGGGAGCAGAGCCAGCGCAGTTGTTAACATACGTATATGTGGCTCCATAGTCGTTGTCTGCGCAACCGCCTCCGCAGACACAACGCATGTCCGATGATGTTACATCTGTAACGTCCCATGGACCGTCTAGCGTTGAGCACAAAAACGGATCGAACACATAGCCGACGCATCCAGCGCTACGTATGTGTATATATATGGGGTTTCTGGGTCAGTGCTTAGGCAAAACAGCTGGCTCCCTCAGCAGGCGCAGCATATGCCCCACGCTGTGAAATCTTGATCAACATGTATGCGTGCCGATGAGCACCACGACAGCTCGGATGCATAAGCCTTGCCGTTCTAAACAATCAAATCTGTGTTTCTAGGGTCGCTGTTTGCGTCAGCCGTCTGGCCACCTTCACAAGCACAGCACAAGGCCGACGCACTGAAATATCGATCATGTCACTCACATCTTTGTGGGAACCTTGAAAGACAAGACACGTACTCGGCACAATCGGCATTCAATTTATCTCCAGCTCCACCGTCAGTGTCTGCAAATATGCGGAGTGGGCGCTGCCGTGGAAACCGGGCAAGTGAAGGTCAGGACCGAATCTCACATACACGGCCAACCAAGATATGACAGCGGCCAGATCCGGACGTAGCGCGCCGGCGAGCTGGTTGGCACGAGAGTCGGTGATCTGGTCGGCGCGGGAGCCGGTGACAGCTGGCCGGCACGGGAATCGGCGAGCTGATCGGTGCGGGAGTCGGTGACCTGCTCGGTGCGGGAGTCGGTGAGCTGGCCGGCGCGGGAGTCGGTGATATGGTCGGCGAGGGAGTCGGCGAGCTGGTCGGTGCACGAGTCGGTGACCTGGTCGGTGCGGGAGTCGGTTGTGGGTTTGCGCATGCTGGGCGTGCTCACGGTTGCGGTGCTGGACAGGGTTGTGGTGCTGCGCTTGCTGGATGTGGGCACGGTGGAGGTGCTGGACACATGTTGGCCTTGGTCACGGTGGTGGTGCTGGTCTGAGTTGTGGTGTTGCCCATGCTGGACGTGGTCACGGTGAAGGGGCTGGTCAAAATTATGGTGCTGCGCATGCCTGTAACAGCTTTAACTCCGTGTCTCGCTACGCCGCCAGAGGCAGTAGACACGTTTGCTTGCACCGAGCCCCCGAGGCAATAACTGTTACGGGTGGCCCTTTGGCACTTCTGGAGTCGAAACTGTGCAATCTGGCCCTGGGCGGCAATTTGCTTGGCTGGTCGGCGCGGGGGTCGGTGAGTAGGTCGGTGCGGGAGCCGGTGATATGGTCGGCGATGGAGTCGGCGAGCTGGTCGGAGCACGAGTCGGTGATCTGGTCGGTGCGGGAGTCGGTGAGCTGGTCGGCGCGGGAGCCGGTGAGGTGGTCGGGGAGGGAATCGGCGAGCTGGTCGGTGCACGAGTCGGTGACCTGGTCGGCGCGGGGGTCGGTGAGATGGTCGGCGAGGGAGTCGGCGAGTGGGTCGGTGCGGGAGTCGGTGACCTGGTCAGTGCGGGAGTCGGTGAACTGGTCGGTGCGGGAGCCAGCAATATGGTCGACGCGGGAGTCGGTGACCTGGTCGGTGAACGAGTCGGTGACATGGTCGGTGCGGGAGTCGGTGAGCTGGCCCGCACGGGAATCGGCGAACTGATCGGCGCGGGAGTGAGTGACCTGATCGGTGCGGGAGTCGGTGAGCAGTCTGGCGCGGGAGTCGGTGATATGGTCGGCGAGGGAGTCGGCGAGCTGGTCGGTGCACGAGTGGGTGGCTTGGTCGGTGCGGGAGGGAGTCGGCGAGCTGATCGGCGCGGGAGTGTGTGATATGGTCGGCGAGGGAGTCGGCGAGCTGGTCGGTGCAGGAGTCGGTGACCTGGTCGGTGCAAGAGTGTGTGAGCTGGTCGGTGCGGGGGACAGCGGTCCGCGCCGGACTCGGTAAACTGGTCGGCGCGGGTGTCAGCGCGGGTGTCGGCCGGCGAAGGCGCAGACGTCGATGTCGGCGTCGGTGCCAGCGACAACTCCGGCGACGGCGATGGTGTAGGCGAGGGTGCAGGTGTAGGCGCCGGCGACGTTGCCGGGGTCGGCACTGGCGTTGGTGTCGCCTTCGGTGCTGTCGACAGCGCTGTCGTAGGGGCCGGCGTCTGTGCTGGGGACGGTGCCGGCGTCGGGGTTGGCGACGGCGCTGGCGTAGGCGCCGGAGTCGGTGCCGGGGCAGGCGCCGGCATCGGTGTCGGCGTCGGGGCAGGCGGCGGTGCTGGCGTAGGCGCCAGCGACGGTGCCAGCGTAGACGCCGACGTCCGCAGTGACGGCGTCGGTGTTGGCGACGGTGCCGCCGTAGGCGCCGGCGTCAGTGCTGGGGTCGGCGCCGCCGTTGAGTCGAGCGGGAGTAGAGAAGTGGTCGCGGCAGTGGCGGCGGTCGCGGCTGTCGGCAAGAGGACGCGTAGCTGGGAAAGAACAGGGTGAACAGGAAGTGGTAGGAGACCAGCAGAAGGTGGAGGTGGTGGGACACGCAATGGCCGCGGTCGCTGCGACGAAGTACCGCGAATGCCTCTGCACTGTCAGCGGGCTCACAAGCCCGCCCTACCCAGCACCCGAATGGCTCGACTGTGTCCAGACCCCAGATCCCGGGCGGCCTGGTGCAGGGCCTCCTGTGCGTCGCGTGCCGCCACCAGTTGTGCACTTTGTACACTGAAGCCACGCGCAGGGCGCGCAGCGTCAGGTCCTCGGGCGCACGCTGGCGGGGGGGCCGGTCCAGGATGAGGAAATCCGCCCGGCCCGCTGCTGGAGGCGCGACCGCAGGCAGCCCGAGCCGCCGTCGCGCGAAGCCAGCCACCGCTGGGCACGCACAGTAGTGCTCAATCGAGTCCTGTGCTCCAACACGTCCGAAAATGCCCGCCGCGCCCGCCATGGGGCCGTTGGTCCAACGCCTGGCCGTGATCCACCCGTGCCATAGGGTCCGCAGTACCGCTGCCCAAACTCGCGGCGGGACCCGGAGTGTGGCAGTGGTCCTGCCTGACGGTTTTCAGCGGCTCCCAGAGCTTTCTGCAATTTTCGCGGAGTGCGCCGTCATCTCGGGGCTCCAGCTGAATCTCCCCAAGACCGTCCTCGTGCCGCTACTCCCAGACAACGCGGTCGGCACGGAGGCTCGCATAGCGCAGGCCTGCCCTGGCTGGGCCGGCCTGCGGGTTGCTTACCGTGCAAACTGCTTGGGCTTCCACCTCGGGCCGGACAGGGGCCACCGCGCTTACGAGGCGCCGCTGAGGAAGTTCCGGGAACGCGCCAAAGCATGGGGCGAGGTCGGCGCAGGACTGTTGTACACATTGACCGCGTACGCCGTCTATGTTCTCCCAGTGCTCACTCATGTCGCTCAGTTGGACAGCCCCCCGGACAATTGGGAAGCCATCGAGGTGGAAGCAATCAGGCGACTCCTCCCTGGGCCTGCAGAGTGGCGCCAGCCTCAGGATTTGCAGTGACTGCAGTGCCTTCGCTATCTTGGGTTCCCGACGGAAGTCCCCGACCTGCGAGCAGTGGCGACGGCTGCGCAGTGCAGGGTGGCCCACCTGGAGGCGCCTTGCCAGGGCGGCCTCCGCGCGACGGCACGAGCCGGCGAGCTCAGACGATGGCGCTCCGACTGCGACGACATCATGCGCGGGATTCGCTGGTCTGACTGGTTCGACCGCTCCTTTGTGGCACAGCTGGCGACAGCACTTGCGCGAGCCGAGAGCGCCAGCGCCGCCCCAGCCGCCGTGGAGCACCGCCTCTCCAATGGTTCACCCAGGCCTTTCCCGATAGTGGTTGAGGCGGCAGTCCGTAGAGGCTTCCAGAGAGCAGTGCGCCAGCTGGTGCGTCCAGACCCCGCGATGTACGTGGGCGCCCGCATCCAGTACCGCATGGTCCGCTGGAGGGCCTCTTGGGCCGTCTTGGGGGCCTCTTGATATGCCTTGGCGCCTTCGCGGGAGCCTCATGGCCTCCAGGACGGCGTTCAAGGCAATCAAGATGACGCCAAAATGGCAAAAGACGGCTCAAGAGGCTCCCAAGACAGCCCCAAGACAGATCAAGAGGCCCGGCCCAAGAGGTCTCCAAGAAGCCCTCCTGGAGAGCCCGAGGAGGTCAAAACCATTGATGTTCGAAATGTTTTTGGAACATTTGGAGGTTCTCACCTGTTCGGGTTTCCGACGGCCCAAGACAAACCAAGAAGCCTCCAAGAGACCTCCAAGGTAGCGCCAAGACAGCCCGAAAGGCCCCAAGAAGACCCACAGATCGCCCAATGGGGCTCCGAAGATGGCCCCAAGACGGCCGTGAACCGCTCCAAGAGGGCACCAACGCCGCCTAGAGAGGCCCCCCAAGTGGCCTCCGAGCGACGGCCCCAATGCAGACTGATCGTCGGAATTGCGCCGTTCCTGAACTCAACCCATCCTTCTGCTGCGCTGTTGCACAAGCACGGTGGCGGGGTTTCACAAATAATTATTGGGGCGTTTTTCCCAGCCGTGACCAGGTTCTGCCGAAATCTTCCGTCGGCAAGCAGATGCGGGTTTCACCTGCCCCACCCTTTCCCCTACCATATCCTCTTTCTCCGCGTCCTCGTCATCGTCCTTCCTTGCTCCTCTCTCTCCTGAACGGTCATCCTGTTTATCATTCTTCACTTATACAGATGCTGCGCCTCCTGGAACGGATGCTCAGTTCATTATCAGGATGTTCCTTGTCTGCGCCAAGTCGATGTACTGCACTCCAACAGTCGAGTGCCCATCCCTTGCAATGACGAAAGCAGCTCTTCTCTCTGTTGCTCGTGCTCGCTCATTTGCCAAGGCCTCGCGTCATTGAGCATAAGACACAGCAATCCCACGTCACAGCAATCCTCGCACCACTCAGCAAACTTCTCGAACGTAGCCTTGGAATCCTCTCCCTCCTTGATGACCTGCATCACGGAAGGGTGGGGGGACGCAGTCGAACGCGAGCATGAAGATTGCGAGAAGGGGGCCTACGAACACGTTGACAATCAGAGGTGCGCAGCTGAGATCAAGGCAAAACAGATACAGCCCTGCCAGGAAATCGATTGGATCGCCGGCTCGCATCACAGATGGCCGAATCGAGGCTGCGCGAAGGCGTCCTGCTGATGAGCGAAGCTTCCGAGTGTTCCGCTTCGCGCGGAAGAGATCCTGCCACTCCAGTAAGGCCAGGTCGATCCGATTGCCTCCCCCTGCCCTCACGGCAATCGAGATGTGCCCCCCGCAGCATATTTGCTTGACCCTGTTCAAGATACTCGACGCTCGCTGGCGCTCCCAGCGGTCCCTGCATGACTTTTCCCACAGCAAGCCTGGGGTCCCGCGTCTGAGCCTTGTCGGAGGTCCCTGGGCTCGGAGGTCCTGGGGGCCAGCCCAGGATGTCCGAATCGTTGAAAAAGCAAAGCGCTGCTGCAAGGTGCTCGCGTGCTCGGCAGTTCGGTTGAAGAACTTCCGAGACGGCCCAAAGATCAAGAGGGGCCTCCAGGAGGAAAAGAAGGAGGAGGAGGAAGGAGGAGGAGGAGGAGGAGGAGGAGGAGGAAGGGGAGGAGGGGGAGGGGGAGTGGGAGGGGGAGGAGGAGGAAGCGGGGAGGAGGAGGAGGAGGAGGAGGAGGAGGAGGAGGAGGAGGAGGAGGAGGACGAGGCCCCCCCCAGCGGGCGGAACTCCAACCACAAATGAAAGCCCTCCGCCCACGGATGGCCCCCAAGACCGCCAGCAGATCCCCAAGTGGCGCCCATGAAGTTCCTAAGAGGCTCCTTTTTGAAGCGCCCAGTGGGGATTACCCCCTTTTCGAGCAATTTGTGGGCCATCCTCAGTTCTGAGGAGGGCGCGCTCAGCCTTTCAAAGCCCCAAGATGGCTTCAAGAAGGCCTACAGTGAAAAACCGCCAATGACGTGGCGTGCGGGAAAGGTGCGGCGCGCCCAGGGGGAGCTCAACTCTCCCGAAACATGAGCGCGGCGCCCGGGCGAGAGCGACGTTTCGGCCTCTCGCGCGGGATGTGCGCCAGGTCCCAGAACTGCCGCGCATTTTACAACGTGGGCGACACACTGTCCATGTTGAAATCGAATCTGCAGGCCTTGCTCTGTCTCTTACAGGTAGGATGGGGGGGTCCCGGTTTGGCTGGCTATCGGCCGGCTTGGTGAACGAGTGGGAGTATATACTGATGAGTAAAGGCTTTTGTGTACATTCTGGGATTTGACATTTAGCCGAAGGCTGGGAGGGGGGGGTCTGGGTCTGGGCCAGTGCTTAGCCAATCTGCTTCTACCAGTCGCGCGAGCAGACTCGGGGGTGGGGGACATGACCAGTCGCCAAACGCAGCCGCCAAAGGCAGCAAAGATCTGTTCTGCGGGGGGGAGGGGGAGAGGGCGGAGGCCCGCGCCGATCGGCGAAACAGAATATAAGAAACGGGGATCAGGAATAGGGCGAGGAGGCGGAGGAGAAGGAGGAGGAGGAGGAGAACACGAAGCCCTGGACTTTGGTCTCGAGGCTGCTCAGGAGCTGCAGCACCTCGCGGGGCTGAGGGCCCCCCCCCGGCCGGTCTCGCAGGCGGCTCTGCTCCCGTGTCCCGACCCACACCCGCCTGCTCTCGCCCCTTGTGCCGCCCCTTCCCCCATAGGCCCCCCCCCCCTCCCAGCAGCCACGCACACAGGCTCCCATCGCCCCCCCTTGCCTTCTCCCTCCTCGCCCCCATCGCCCCCGCTCGCCCTGTGGCTTGCCACTCTGCCCCTCGCCCCGTCGCCCTCCCCCCGAGGTCCCCCTCCCCCCCTCGCCCCCTCCCCCTGACACTGACCCCCGCCCCCCATCCCCTCCGTAGCGTCTCGGGAAGCCCCCGCCTGCCTGAAGCCCACGGGGATCCCGCGAGACCCGAAAGCTGAAACCTCTCTGTCCTCCTCCTCCTCCTCCTCCTCCTCCTCCTCCTCCTCGTCCTCATCTTTCGCCTCGTCCCGCGTTCAAACTCCACCTCCGCTCTCGCCCCGTGCGCCCCCGAGAGGGGACCTCGGGCTGCTCGGGGTGTGGGGGGCCCGGCGCCAGACACGACGGGGCCCCACTGTTCGCGCGCGCGCCCTGCCAAGGGAGTGAGGAGCGCCTGGAACAAAGGGGAAGACGGAAACAGCCTAATGCGGGATCACGACTAATAAAACAAATGGGAGGGAACGATTAAAAAAATAGTTTTCTGCGATTTCGGCACAAGTTTCTGACTGGAGGAGAACGATTAAAAGAAATAGTTTTCCAGCCCGCGGCCGGTTTTTTCTGATCGTCATCCCGGGCGCCGCCGCGTGAACACGACCCCCGGTCATTTATTAGTCGTCATCCTCCATTAGAAGGAGGAGAAGGGCAACATTAGAGGGAGAAGAGGATGGACGAGTAGGGGGACCACGAGGAGGAAGGGGAGACGGAGGGGGAAAAGAATGGATGGGGCGCCTGGAGGCAGCGAGGAGAGGAAGCAAACATAGACGGGCGAGTCTGGAAGCTCCTTGTCGTCGGAGTGAGAAACGGAGGAACAGCTTTTGGCAGAAAGCGCCCGCGCCACAACGATGACAACGCGAGCTCTCCTCAGGAAGTCCAAGGGAGGAAGGAGGCAGGCAATCTCGGAATGGGGCACAATCCTCAGGTTTCGGGGCCGACGCTGCTGAGCCGAACTTCGACGCGAAAGGTCTCCGAACCTCATTCATCTTCCCTGTGCGGGTGGAGATACTGCGATCGTCGCCAACCGTATGGAGCCCGAAACGTGAACTGATCAGTACGCAAGTCCGAGATAGAACGGCCCGCTGGACCCCTCTACGAATCTCTCTCTCTTTCTCTCTGTCTCTCTCCCTCTGTCCATCTCTCTCTATCTCTCTATATGTTGTGTATATATGTATACATGAATATGTGTTTGTTCATTTAGTTTCCCTTTGTTTTGTCTCTAGCTCTCTCTTTCTAGGTCTCTTTTGTTGTTTCTCTCTCTCTCTCTTTCTATTTCTCTACCTTCATGTGTGTATGCATACATGTCATATGTAGAACCAGTATTGCACGCATACGTATGTGTGCACGCATCTGCGTGCACGCACAGCTGTGACCCCTGACACGCTGAGGCGTGGTAGAATGCAGAGTGCTGCCCGGCAGGGTTTCTGCACATCTTGTACAGTCGGACCTGGGACAGAATTCGCCGGCCCAACGGGCCAGAGGCGTGCTAAGATCTCCGGTAACTGGTTAACAACATTTCTAGTTCGCGCGCGCGGAGCGGCCCCTGGGGGCCCCCGGACGAAAAGTACCCCGGCAAGGTCCCGGGAGAAGCCACCAGAGCACTCCAGGGGAGAGCCATTTTTCGACACCCCTCACGAGGATCGTGGCCTCCGAGGGGGGAGCCGCAATCGACTACCCCCCCTCCCGCCCCAAGAGGCCCCCAAAAGCCCCCCAAGAGGCCCTGGGGGCCCCCCAAGACGCCGCCAAGGAACCCCAAGAGACTCCCAAGAGGTCCCCAAGAGGCCCTAAAGAGGGCTCCAGGGCCGGCGGAATGAGCGAAGCGATTCAATAATCTCCCTCAAGAACGTGAGGCCCTCCGCTGGCCAAGGCACACAGAACAGCCGAGGGTAGCCTCCCCCAGGATGCACAATTAGAAGAACACGCGCCAACAGTTGATGTTCATGGCGTGTGTCCTTCCTCGAACAATCACATCCAGCAGGCACGAAGAACACAAGGGTGCCCGCACCGAAGCGACCTCGATGTTAGACCTCGGTCCGACGGTGAGGTTCCTCCCTCCTCCCCGCACCATGCTCGGGTGCATGCACCGCCCCTCCCACCAAGAGCCTCCCCGGGCGGCCCGCCGCGTCCGAGGGGCGCTCCATGGCCCTGCATAGAAGGCAGGAAGTCCACCCCGATAATAACCACCCCGACACGCGAAGCCGTTTAGCAAACGCGCCCAAAGAAAGAATCAAACAAGGCAGGGCTGTGTAGTAAACGTCCAGGGCCGTTCGGTAAACGCCAATTGTCGGGTCCGGGTGGTTTTTCCTCCCTTGACTACAGCTGGACCTAGGACAGAAGAACATCCTTCAAGAACATGGGACCCTCCGCAGGGCCCAAACAGAAGAACATTCGAGGGTACCCTCCCCCAGGATGCGCCAGAGCATCCAACAACCACGAAAAACATCAGGGTCACCTCCCCGAACTGACCTCGATCTTAGACCTCTGTCCGAGGCATCCAAGATTCCAAGACGGACCAGGAGGGCCGTCAGGGCAGCCAAGATGATTCCACCTTGCCTCAAGAGGCGCCCAACAGGCAGCCCCCCAGATGATCCCAGCAGGCGCACAAGAGGCCCCAACAATCCCACCAGCCCTCTGGGCGCAGGTGGTCTAACGTTGACTTCCTTTCCTCTTACGAAAGCCCTTCTTCCCCTTCGGGGAGGGGTTTTCCCCTCCCCCTACCCCCTCCCCTGGACCTGGACGGGAGGGTCCGCGATCGGTTGGACGGTCCTTTTTCGGCCCCTGGGAGGACCAATTTCTGACACCCCTCACGAGGATCGTGGCCCCCGAGGGGGCGGCCTCGATCTGGACCCCCCCTCCTTTGATCGATAGCCTCGAAGATGGCCCCAAGAGGCGCTCCGGGGCTCCCAAGAAAAGCCAAGAGAGCCCCAAGAGGGTTCCAAGAGGGTCCCAAGAGGGCCCCTAAGAGGCACCCGAGAGGCCCCCAAGAGGCCCCCGAGCGGCCTCAGAGAGCCTAAGGTTACCTTCGAGATTGCTAAGACTGCCCAAACTGGCTCAAGATGGCTCCCAGATGGGTCGCGGGTGGGTCGCGGTTGGGTCGCGGGTGGGTCGCGGGGTGGGTCGCGGGTGGGTCGCGGGTTGGGTCGCGGGCGGGTCGCGGGGTGGGTCGCGGGGTGGGTCGCGGGGTGGGTTGCGGGGTGGGTCGCGGGTGGGTCGCGGGTGGGACGACGACAACAAACCACAGCAACAGCAACAGCAACAGCAACAGCAACAGCAACAGCAACAGCAACAGCAACAGCAACAGCAACAGCAACAACGCAACAAGCAGAACTCTCACCACGATGTCCTTATTCAGCCAAGCACCCAGGGACAATGAATGACCGTTCGGCCCCCTCATTCTGACTATTCGGGGGGGGGGCGGCGCCGATGTTTGGCACACGGGGGTGACATTGCTTGCGGTGCCAGGGACGCTCAAATTCACCGAACGTCTTCCATCTCATCATGTACTTCCACATCAACCCGCAAGAGGCGCCCAAATAACACACGGCCCCAAAAATATCTCAAACTGCCATTACCGGGCATACGCACCTTCTGATGCGCGAACAACTTCCCAATTTCCGCCCCCTACACTAAAACCGAATGAAGGGGGCCGAACGGTCATTCGTTGTCCCTGGGTGCGTGGCTGAAATGAGAATCCGTGGTGCGGCTTCTGCTTGTTGCGTTGTTGTAGCTGTAGTTGTAATACTTGTTGTTGAGGTTGTTGAACTCTCACTTCTGAACAATCGTTATTGTTGATCCCCCTCTCTGGTGCATGCTGATTTTCTCAATCAAAATGTGTCCCTCGACGCTCGCACCCTGTTTTTTGACAGGGGAGGTCTTGGTGTTCAAACTGTGCCCGTGGCCCCCTGGATTACAACAACAACGGTTCCCGCTTGAGACTTCCTCCAAATTTACTCAGGACCCCCGCTCCTGAGACTTCCTCACAATTTACTCAGGATCGGTGCTCCCGCCTGTGACCTCCTCGAAATTTAGTCAGGAGCCCCACTCCCATCTGAGACTTCCTCACAATTTACTCAGGAACGGCGCTCCCGCTTGAGACTTCCTCGCAAGTCAATGAAAACTTCCTCGCAATTGAATCAAGACCCCCGCTCCCGCCAGAGAGCCCCTCACATGTTACTCAGGAATTGCGATCTCGCGTGTGACTCCCATGCAATTGATTCAGAAGTCGCGCTTTCGACGCTCAGGAACCACGATGCGCCAAGAACGCCGCTACAATTCGCTTAGTAATCGCGCTCTCGCCATACTCAAGAATCCCGCTTGAATGTCCCACCCGCCACACCCGCCCGTCAGGGCATCGCCCGCCCGTCGTGGGCTCCCGCCCGAGACTTCCTTCAGGAACGGCGCTTTCGCCTAGGACTGTCTCGAACGTTCACGCTCTTATCTTCCTGCTCCTCCGCCCTTCCCCTCCTCCCTCCTCCATCCTCTCCTCCCTTCTCTCTCCCTCCACTCTTCCCTCATCCTTCTGCCTTTCTGCCCTTCCCCTCTCCCTCCTCTCCCTCCTCCTTTCTCCCTCCCCTCTCCTGCCTCCTCCCTCCCTCTTTCTTTCTCCCTTTCCCCTCTCTCTCTCTCTATTTCTCTCTTTCTCTACCTCTCTTATATGTTTTTCTCCCTCTCTCTCTGCCTCTAATCAACCACCCCCCTCTTCGTTCCTTTTCTCCTGGCGTTTTCCCTCTTCCTTCGTCCCTCCCCCTCCCTTCCTCCCAGTCTCCCTCGTTTCCCCTCCTCTTTTTGCAGGGCCCACAACAATTCCAATGGCGGGCACATGTACCCCCACGAAGGATTGTTCGCCCGTTCAGGTTTGCCCGCCTGTCTAAGCCCGCCGCGCCTCGCAAAGAGAAAGAATCCCCCCAAAAGGGGGTGTGATCGAAGACAAAAAGGGCGGGTATCGAGGGTGTGGGGAACTCGCTTTGAATGACACGCGGGCAAGTAAGAGCGAACAGTCTTAGAATGATTACCTAACAGCGAAGACTGATAGGTTTCTAGTTGACTCAAAAGAGCTCACAGATCACTCCACAGGGGGGTCTGGGCGGGTGCCGGACAGGGTGCCGCAGAAGCCGTTTTAAGCCAACAGTCACACACTTCGTGCTCTTCGACCTCCCAGAACTCCATTCCCGGGCCACATTCTGAATGCCCGGAGCCAACTGTAGGCCCTTTCGGCTCTTCGACTCCCAGAACTCCATTCCCGGGCCACATTTTGAATGCCCGGAGCCAACTGTAGGCCACTTCGTGCTCTTCGAGTTCCCAGAACTCCATTCCCGGGCCACATTTTGAATGCCCGGAGCCAACTGTAGGCCACTTCGTGGTCTTCGAGTTCCCAGAACTCCATTCCCGGGCCACATTTTGAATGCCCGGAGCCAACTGTAGGCCACTTCGTGCTCTTCGAGTTCCCAGAACTCCATTCCCGGGCCACATTTTGAATGCCCGTAGCCAACTGTAGGCAACTTCGTGCTCTTCGACTTCCCAGAACTCCCATTCCTGGGCCACATTTTCAGCAGGGGCAAAAGCACGACGAGGAGGAGGACGAGCAAGACCAGGAGGACGAGGACGACCAGGAGCAGGACGAGGAGCAGGAGGAGCAGGAGAAGAAGGACGAGCAGGAGGAGGAGGAGGACGAGCAGGAGGAGGAGGACGACCAGGAGGAGGAGGACGACCAGGAAGAGGAGGAGGAGGAGGAGGAGGGGAGGGGGAGGACTACCAGGAGGAGGAGGAGGAGGAGGAGGAGGAGGAGGAAGAGGAGGAGGAGGAGGAGGAGGAGGAGGAGGAGGACGAGGAAGAGGAGGGGGAGGGGAGGGGGAGAGCTGCCTTTTTCGTCGAGATGCTGTTCGACCCAGAGATGCTCCTACACATGGCTGTTAGGTTGCTTTGCCGGGATAATTGTTTTTGTTCTTGAACTCCACGACTGAAGAAGAAGTATTGTTGATCCGCCCTCCAGTGCATTTTGTATTTACCTAACAGCGAAGACTGATAGGTTTCTAATGGGCTAAAAAAGAGCAGCAGATGACTCCACAGGGGGGTCTGGGCGGGTGCCGGACAGGGTGCCGCAGAAGTCGTTTTTAAGCCAACAGTCAAACACTTCGTGCTCTTCGACCTCCCAGAACTCCATTCCCGGGCCACATTCTGAATGCCCGGAGCCAACTGTAGGCCACTTCGTGGTCTTCGACTTCCCAGAACTCCATTCCCGGGCCACATTTTGAATGCCCGGAGCCAACTGTAGGCCACTTCGTGGTCTTCGAGTCCCCAGAACTCAATTCCCGGGCCACATTTTGAATGCCCGGAGCCAACTGTAGGCCACTTCGTGCTCTTCGAGTTCCCAGAACTCCATTCCCGGGCCACATTTTGAATGCCCGGAGCCAACTGTAGGCCACTTCGTGCTCTTCGACTTCCCAGAACTCCATCCCGGGCCACATTTTGAATGCCCGTAGCCAACTGAGGCTGAGGCAGGCTGCTGCTGAGGCAGGCTGAGGCTGAGGCTGAGGCAGGCTGAGGCTGAGGCAGGCTGAGGCTGAGGCTGAGGCAGGCTGAGGCAGACGCTGAGGCAGGCTGATGCTGAGGCAGGCTGAGGCTGAGGCTGAGGCTGATGCATGCTGAGGCTGAGGCAGGCTGAGGCTGAGGCCGAGGCTGAAGGCAGACTGAGGCTGAGGCTGAAGCAGGCTGAGGCTGAGGCTGAGGCAGGCTGAGGCTGAGGCAGGCTGAGGCTGAGGCTGAGGCAGGCTGAGGCTGAGGCTTAGGCAAGCTGATACTGAGGCAGACTGAGGCTGAGGCTGAGGCAGGCTGAGGCTGAGGCTGAGGCTGAGGCTGAGGCAGGCTGAGGCAGGCTGAGGCAGGCTGAGGCTGAGGCTGAGGCTGAGGCTGAGGATGAGGCAGGCTGAGGCAGACGCTGAGGCAGGCTGAGGCCGAGGCTGAGGCAGGCTGTGGCTGAGGCTGAAGCTGAGGCAGGCTGAGGCTGAGGCTGATGCAGGCTGAGGCTGAGGCAGGCTGAGGCTGAGGCTGAGGCTGAGGCTGAGGCTGTGGCTGAGGCTGAGGCTGAGGCTGAGGCAGACGCTGAGGCTGAGGCAGGCTGAGCTGAGGCAGGCTGAGGCTGAGGCTGAGGCTGATGCAGGCTGAGGCTGAGGCTGGCTGAGGCTGAGGCCGAGGCTGAAGGCAGACTGAGGCTGAGGCTGAAGCATGGCTGAGGCTGAGGCAGAGGCAGGCTGAGGCTGAGGCTGAGGCAGGCTGATGCTGAGGCAGGCTGAGGCTGAGGCTGAGGCTGATGCAGGCTGAGGCTGAGGCAGGCTGAGGCTGAGGCGAGGCTGAGGCAGGAGGCTGAGGCTGAGGCTGAGGCTGAGGCTGAGGCAGGCTGAGGCTGAGGCTGAGCAGGCTGATGCTGAGGCAGGCTGAGGCTGAGGCTGATGCAGGCTGAGGCTGAGGCAGGCTGAGGCTGAGGCCGAGGCTGAAGGCAGACTGAGGCTGAGGCTGAAGCAGGCTGAGGCTGAGGCTGAGGCAGGCTGAGGCTGAGGCAGGCTGAGGCTGAGGCTGTGACTGTGACTGCCGTTGCCACTGCGACTGTCATCGCGAATGCGACTGCGACTGCGAGAACAGGAGAATTCTACAACTGGATTCTCATCTGGATCTTAAGGGGAATGTTTCCATATATGCTTCTACACATCGCTGTTAGGTTGCTTTGCCGGGATAATTTTTAATTGAAGTGCCCCTCCCGGCGCTCGCACCCTGTTTGTTACCAAAGAAAGTCTTCCTCCCCAAACTGTGCCCCTGGCCCCCGGTTTACAACAACAACAACAACAACAACAACAACAACAACAACAACAACAACAACAACAACAACAACAACAACAACAACAACGGTTCCCGCTTGGTATTTTCTCGAAATTTCCTCCGGTCCCCCGCTTCCGCTTGAGACTTCCTCGCAATTTACTCAAGAATCGCGCTCCCGCCTGATACTTCCTCGCAATTTACTCAGGCGCCGCGCTCTTGCCATTCAGGAGTCGCGCGTTCGCTGAGGACTTCCTCGAATTTACTTAGGAATCGCTCTCTCGCTGGAAACTTCCTGTCTAATCGCGCAAAATTCACAATCGATCCGCCCGCTCGGCCCGCCCGTCAGGGTCATGACCTTCGTGCGCCAAGCTCGCTCGCGCCCTTTGTGCCGCATTGCTGCCCTTCGTGGCCCCTCTCCTTGTGGCCCAGTCGCTGCCCGTCGTGGCCCCGATGTTGCCCTCAGTGGCCCCTCGCTGCCCTTTGTGGCCCATCTATACGCCCTTCGTGGTCCCCCAGTCGCTCGTGCCCTTGGTGGCCCCATTGCTGCCCTTCGTGGCCCAGCTGCTGCCCTCAGCGGCCCCCTCGCTGCCCCTTGTGGCCGATGCCCACGCCCTTCGTGGCCCCCAGTCGCTCGTGCCAGTGTAGCCCGTGTGCCTCCCACTCGCTGCCCTCAGCGGCCCCCTCGCTGCCCTTTGTGGCCCATACCTTCACCCTTCGTGCCCCCCAGTCGCTCGTGCCCTCGGTGGCCCCATTGCTGACCTTCGTGGCCCCGGCGTAGGCCCCTTTGTGGTTCGGCCACAGGCTTTCTGCTCCGAGCCCCCCTCCTGCTACTCTCTCTCTCTCTCTCGTGCTCCATCCTCCTCTCTCCCCCTTGCCCCTTCCTTCCATCCATCCTCTCTTCCCCTGTCTGAGGTGCTGCACGACATACGAGTTGCAGGTAAGAAAGACTACACCTCAGGAATACGATCGAAAACGAAGAGGGTGGGTATCGAGGGTTTGGATATACGTGTTGGATGGCACGCGAGCAGATTAGAGCGAACAGTCTTAAAATGATCGTTGCTGTTGCTGTTGCTGTTGCTGTTGCTGTTGTTGCTGTTGTTGTTGTTCTCTTGTTGTTGTTGTTGTTGTTGTGTTGTTGTTGTTGTTGTTGTTGGTGTTGTTGTTGTTGTTGTTGTTGTTGTTGTTGTTGTTGTTGTTGTTGTTGTTGTTGTTGTTGTTGTTGTTTGGTGTCGTCGTCCCCCACCCGGCACACCCGCGACACACCCGCGACCTACCCCGCGACCCAGCTCGCGACACACCCGCGACCCAACCCGCGACCCACCCCGCGACCCACCCGCGACCCACCCGCGACCCACCCGCGACACACCCGCGATCGACTTTCGGAGGCTCCGTGACCGCTCGACATGGGTGGCAGAGGCCCCCAATACGAACGTCAGATGATTCAAGACGCGCTCAAGACTGCCTAAGATGGACTCCAAAAATTCCTAGATTAGCCCAGGATATCCCCAACGTGGCCCAAGATCTCGCAAACCAGGCCCGAGAGGTCCTCGTCGTTGTCCCATCCTGGTGCTCGTCTGTGTCGTCGTCCTCCTCGTCCTCCTGCTCCCGTCGTCCCCGTCCTCGTCCCCCTCCTCCTCCCCGTTCCTCTTCGCTCCTCCTCGCTCCTCCTCCTCGCTGCTCCTCCCCGCCTCTCCTCCTTGCCCCCCCTCCTCCTCGTGGCCCTCCTGCCGCACCTCGCTCCCCCCCTTCGACCCTCCCCTCCTGGCCCGTGTGCCTCCCAGGCTGCCCCCCCCCCCTCCGGCCGCGGGCCTTGGCCACCGGCGAGTCCGCCCGCGCGGGCACCGGCGAGAGGCCGAGCGCAGCCGCCAGCAGCACCACGGCACGAGCCGCCATCACGGAGAGACCCTCTTGGGGCAGGTCGCCGGGCGGGGGGATGGGGGCTGGGGGGAGGTGATGTGCCTGTTTTCCATCACCACCACCACCACCATAAGTCGGAGGGGGAGGGGGTCCTCCGCCTCCTCCTCCTCCTCCTCCTCCTCCTCCTCCTCCTCCTCTTCCTCCACCTCCTTCCCCCCTCCAACTTATGGTGGTGGTGGTGGACAACAGGCCCATCAGGAGGGGCGCAAGCGAAGTGCGCTTGCGCCGCATCTGGCAACCCTGCCCCTCCCACCTAGTACATTTCCCGTTGCGCTGACGTCTGCTCTCCACATTTGCTGGCATGCGTCGCAGCCGACCTGGAATGGATCTGCGTACGTTGGAGGAGGGGGAGAAGGAGGAGGAGGAGGAGGAGGAGGAGGAGGAGGAGGAGGTGGCGGATGAGCTGGATGATGAGCAGGAGGAAAATGAGGATGAGGAATCGAGGACGAGGACGAACAGCAGAAGCAGGAGCTGGAGTATAAGAAGTTGGAGTCGAAGTAGAGGGAGGAGCAGAAGGAACAGGGGAAGGCAGAAGAGTGGAAATAAGGGAGGCCACAAACTCGGATCCAGAAAAAACGTCGCCAGCGCTGGGGCGAGAGCGGCATTCTGAACGACGGGGGCAAATCGCCGACCCCAAGATGAGGCCAACGAAGCAGCGGCAGCACCATTTGAGACACCGAGGACGCTCCGATCAAAACAGCATCGGAAAGAACAGCGCTTGACTTACTGCGTAAGACCGCAAGCGCAGAGGGGGGCGGCCGACTCCCCGGCCGTCTTCGGGGAAGAGAGGACGAGTACTTCTCAGATGCGAATGGGGATGGAAAGGAACGGGGAAGGGAGGGAGATGGGGAGGCGAGGCGCCGGGGTTTCTCGGACCACCCTCCGCGAATCGCTCGCCTCCCGCTGCGTCCGAGACGAGAAGCGTCACCACACGCGCCGGGCCAGCTCCGGTGCCCCGAAGTGGAGCGGCCCACGCGAGCTCGAAAAATGAGCCCTCAGCCCGACGTCGGCCACACAGCGTCCCGAGATCTGCCACGGGTGCCACCGAGGTGCCCTCGCGTGCCCCCGGGAGGGCCCCTCGCAGGCGCCCTGGGCAACGCTTCCGCGCGAGGGTCGCGGCCGGAGTGTATGAAGGCCTCGAGCTGGTGGGAAACGAGGCCGAAATGCTCACTCCCGTTTCCTCTCCATTTCTTTCTACCTCTGCATCGGCCCCTGCACGTCTTATGCTTCTTTCGTTCTTCCGCTATTCCTGTCTTTGTTTGTTTCTCGTTCTCTCTCACTCTCTCGCTCCCTCTCTCTCTCTCTCTCGCTCTCACTGTGGAGAGAGAGAGAGAGAGAGAGAGAGAGAGAGAGCCGCTACCGACTACCGTCAGGCAAGAGGAGGAGCCCCAGGAGGAGAGGCTCAGCAGTGGCGACGGAGCGAGGACAGAGAAGGGCACACGAGGAATCAGTATGCAACATGGATAGAGTGAAATCAAAATTAAGTAGCACACCTGAGAAGCGGGTCTGGACGGCAGCGCTACGTTGGGCGCTGAGCTGGCTTGAGGATCGGAGCAGCGGTCGCTGGAGTGAGCGAGGAGGAAGCTGCGCAAAACCTAGTGTCCGAGTCCAAAGGGGGCCCTCAAGCACCCGAGTGGCCAAAAGTGCCGCACCAGGTCGATTCTACAGGAGGGTCGGCATGGGCTCTTGAACCGCCGTTGAACCGAAGCCTTTCCTGGTGGTGACCGCTATCCTGTGAGGATTCTACCCACAAAGGGAAACACACTTATACCACAACTGCAACTTTCGAGGGGGCTAAGAGCAGCGCGAACAGACTTCACGATCCTAGGCGTCGCGCGACTGCTGCTGCTGCTCTGCCATCCCCTCCTCCACCACGTCAGTCTCCTTGCCCAGCCTTTCCTCGACATATCATTTTTCTTATTGTCCTCCTCCTCCTCCTCCTCCTCCTCCTCCTCCTCCTCTAAAGCCCTTTTGCCCTTATCCCTTCTCCTTCCTTGAAGAGGCTTCCGTAGAAGACCACCACAGAGTGCGCGGCTGCGCACCTCGTTTGGCGACCCCCACCCTGTGCATGCGACCCCCCCCCCCCCAAGCGCATCCCCGCGGACTGAGCGAAACCCACCCAGGAGCCGGGACGAGGGCAGAAGACGCCGAACAAGAGCGGCATCCCTACTGCGACTACGTTGACGCGCCTACAACCACCGTGCCACCAGCAGGAGCGCATCATATACGGAACGAGGGAGCTTCTGGCAACAGGCGGCCAAGCCACAAGCAGGCTCCACGGCATGAGTTCCAGGAAGGGCCCAAAAACCCGAGCCCCTCCTGAGCCCAAAGCGGACCGTACTTCAGCGTCGTGCCTGTGCCCGTCGGTCGGGAACAATGTATAGAAACATGAAGTAGGACGGCACTGGAAAACGATTGGGCTTCCGCCCGCCCCCTGAAGAGGGGGGAATAAGGACAACCGTTAGACCCTTGCAGTAGGAAGGCGCCTAACTTATCCTTGGCGAAGGGCCCAACCATATGCAGTTGTGGGTATCGCCGTTGTGGGTATCGCCTTCCGTAGATCTCTTCATGGGGCCACGAAACGTGTAAAAGGTGTGCCGAAATGGGGCGAGGACGCATGCGGGCGCAGCCACCGCCACTGGGGCCTTCGGTGGAGCTCCCTATGGGGCACGAAGCGCTGTGCTGTGTGGGGGAAACGCATGCGAACACCGCCGCTGGGACCTTCGGTGGGGGTCGCGAAACGTGTCAGGGGTGTGCCGAAATGGGGCGGCGGTGACATGCGAACTTTTCCACCGGGGCCTTAGGTGGAGCTCCCTATGGGGCCACGAAACGTGTGAGGGGTGTACCGACAGGGGGAGGCGGCGCCATGCGATCTTTCCCACTGGGGCCTTCGGTGGAGCCCCCTATGGGGCCACGAAGCGTGTGCGGGGTGTGCCAGAATTTGACGCGGAGGACAGAGGCAAGGATGGGGTGGGAGGAGGATGGGAAGGAGGAAGAGGAGGAGGAGGAGGAGGAGGAGGAGGAGAAGAGGTGGAGGAGACGCGGGGCGCTGTCTCCTCAAAACGAAGACCCAACACCCCAGGATGGTTGGAGAACAGGTGGGCATGCGGGAATTCCAAAAATACCTACCTTCACCGACCGGCGTGTGCCGCCTCCAGCTCCTCCTTCGCTCTCCTCCCTCCCTGCCCCCCTCCCTCCCTGCCTCTCGCGCGTGCCGCAGAAGAGGGCCCCGCGCCGCTGCTTTCTCTCCTAGCTCCAGCAGCGTGAGCTTGGCGAGACACTGTCGCGCGCGGGAACAGCCCGACGCCGTCGACCGCTGTGGGAAATGGAAGCGGGACTTGGCCGGCCCAAAAAGAGAAAAACCCGCGGCAGCGCGGCGCGCTGCAACGGCCCAGCGGGGACGCGAAGGAGGAATGAAGGGATGGGCGCTTCTCATTCGGGCGCGGGCTCCCAGTCTGGCACACCATTGGCTGTGATCGTGCCCCTCGGGATGAGGGGCGCCCACTCTGGCACACCATGAACGGTTACCGTGCCCCTCGGGATGGGGGGGCGTCAATTTGGGCACACCGCTCACGGTGATCGCGACCCTCGGGACTGGGTGGGCTGACGTCAAGCCTCAGCCCCGTTGGCCGACATCGAACAGCCATCGACAAGGGGACCGAACCAGGCCCCGAAAATCCGAGCGAAGCGGGGGCCAGGACCAGGAAGGCGTACCTGACAGGGACAGACAAGAAGGATTAGAGAGGGGTCGGGCCAGAAAGACGAAGTGCAGGGGGAAGGGGTGGAGGGAAGAAGGAAAGGAGGCAAAAGAGAGCATGATAACGAGGATGCGATGCGGCGACAGGGAGAAGACAAAAGGACAAAGGAGAAGAACTCGCCGAGGAGGAAAGGGGGCGTAAGAAACCCCAGGGAGGAACGGAAGTACGGCCTCCTCCTTATCATCTTCCCTACCGCGCCGAAGCTAAACGACGATACTGACAAGTGCGACAATGCAGTCGCCCTCGGCTTGCCAAGTGGCTGTGAAACTTAGAACTTGGAAGTGGGATAGCGGCTGCGTGATCGCCTTCTCCATCTAAGCCTTCGGTGCAAGCTGCACTGGCATCGCAATGACCTTCGTGTATTACCGACGTGTGCCATCCTGTGCATGGCCCACGAGAATCTCCGCGATCCGCACTGTGAATGTACAAGAGAGTCAGGAGAGTGTCAGCGTGTACCATTGCCGTGATCTTCTCGGGCAATGTACTGGAAAATTGAGCTTTCAATCAACTGCAAGATAGTTTATTGATTCCATTGCCACCGCAAATAATGCTGCAGCATGCCAAATCGATGTGCCTGCCACAATCGCGTAATTCGTTGATTTGCGAGGTTGGCGAGTTGTTCTAAGCTGACGTCGACAAGTGTGCCGTTGTGTATCTGTAGCTTGCCCGCCCAACCAACGGATTGTCACTCGACACGGTCCTTCAACATCTGCACGCTTCTCTTGCTTTCATGTGCTCTCGGCGCCGTTCCTGCCGCCTCCGTGCCTGTTCCGCTCGACGGCAGTCCTGTGGTGGCTCGGCCGCAGCTCGGGGCCGAGGCGCCGCAAAGATTGGCGGCGAGCAAGGGGGGGGAGTGAGAAGGGGCGGACCTTCTCAGAAGGCTCAGAAGAAAACATTGAATACTTGGTCCAACTCTTCCGCCGCCGCCTCCTCCTCCTGCTCGTCCTCCGCCGCCTCCTCCTCCTTCTCCTCCTTCGCTCCTGTTGGCATCCCCCACAGGAAGGATTCCCATGGAAATCCCCCCCACAGAAGGATTCCGATGGAAATCCTCCACAGAAGTTTTCGTACAAGCAGTCTCCACAGAAGAATGTCTGCTGAAAGAAAAGGAGGAGGGGGGGGGGCCGAGGAAAAGGAGGAGGAGGACGAGGAGAAAGCGAAAGGAGGGGGGGGGCCGAGGAAAAGGAGGACGAGGAGAAAGGAGGAGGAGGGGGCCGAGGAGAAAGAGGAAAAAGAGGACGAGGAGACGAGGAAAAGGAGGACGAGGAGAACGGAGGAGGAAAAGGAGGAGGACGAGGAGTAGGGGGGGGCCGAGGAAAAGGAGGAGGCGGCGGAGGACGAGGAGAAAGCGGAACCGTCGGAGGGATGCCCCCTCCTGCTCCTCCTCCTCCTCCGCCTCCTCCTCCTCCTCCTTCTCCTCCTCTTCCTCCTCCTCCTCCTCCTCCTCCTCCTCCTCCTCCTTCTCCTCCTCCTCCTCCTCCTCCTCCTCCCCCTCCTGTTCCTCCTCCTCCTCCGCCTCCTCCTCTTCCTCCCCCTCCTTCTCCGCATCCAAATCAGAATCCCCTTCCGGTGGGAAAACCATTGAAACAAAAAACGATTAAGATTGGGAGGATTCGAAGGAGAAGGAGGAGGCGAAGGAGGAGGCGAAGGAGGAGGAGGAGGAGGAAGATTTCAATAGGAACCGTTCTGTGGAGGATCTCTATAGGGTTCCCCCTGTGGAGAATGTCAGTAGGAATCCTTATGTGCGGAATTTCCATAGGAATCCTTCTGTGCGGGATTTCAATGGGAATCCTTCTGTGGTGGATGCCAATAGGAACCGAGGAGGATGAGGAGGAGAAGGACGAGGAGGCGGCGGAGGACGAGGACGAGGAGGTGCAGGAGGCGGCGGAAGGGTTGGACTAAGTATTGATGTGCTTGGTTTTGGGTTGTGTTTTTGTTGTTGCTTTGGTTGGCTCGGTTTTTCAGCTGCCAGTCTTTGTTTTTGAATTGTTTGTTTTCCTTTGGGTTTTGTCTTGCAATCGCCAACCGTTGATTTCTTTGTTTTTCCCAACCATCCTGTGGTGTTGGGTCCTCGTTTTGAAGAGACAGCGCCCCGCGTCCCACCTCCTCCTCCTCCTCTCTCCTCCCCCTCCTCCCTCCTCCCATCATCATCATCATCTTCATCATCATCATCACCATCATCATCATCATCATCATCCTCATCATCATCATCACCGTCATCATCATCATCATCATCATCGTCATTGTCATCGTCGTCATCGTCATCGTCATCACCCACTTCGGCACACCCCTCACACGCTTCGTGGCCCCATAGGGAGCTCCACCGAAGGCCCCATGGCTGCCGTCCGCATGCGTCCCGCACACCCATTTCGGCACACCCCTCACACGTTTCGTGGCCCCATAGGGAGCTCCACCGAAGGCCCCAGTGCTGCCGTCCGCATGCGTCCCGCACACCCATTCGGCACACCCCTCACACGTTTCGTGGCCCCACAGGGAGCTCCACCGAAGGCCCCATGGCTGCCGTCCGCATGCGTCCCGCACACCCATTTCGGCACACCCCTCACACGTTTCGTGGCCCCACAGGGAGCTCCACCGAAGGCCCCAGTGCTGCCGTCCGCATGCGTCCCGCACACCCATTTCGGCACACCCCTCACACGTTTCGTGGCCCCATAGGGAGCTCCACCGAAGGCCCCATGGCTGCCGTCCGCATGCGTCCCGCACACCCATTTCGGCACACCCCTCACACGTTTCGTGGCCCCACAGGGAGCTCCACCGAAGGCCCCAGTGCTGCCGTCCGCATGCGTCCCGCACACCCATTTCGGCACACCCCTCACACGTTTCGTGGCCCCACAGGGAGCTCCACCGAAGGCCCCAGTGCTGCCGTCCGCATGCGTCCCGCACACCCATTTCGGCACACCCCTCACACGTTTCGTGGCCCCATAGGGAGCTCCACCGAAGGCCCCATGGCTGCCGTCCGCATGCGTCCCGCACACCCATTTCGGCACACCCCTCACACGTTTCGTGGCCCCACAGGGAGCTCCACCGAAGGCCCCATGGCTGCCGTCCGCATGCGTCCCGCACACCCATTTCGGCACACCCCTCACACGTTTCGTGGCCCCACAGGGAGCTCCACCGAAGGCCCCAGTGCTGCCGTCCGCATGCGTCCCGCACACCCATTTCGGCACACCCCTCACACGTTTCGTGGCCCAAGGGAGCTCCACCGAAGGCCCCAGTGCTGCCGTCCGCATGCGTCCCGCACACCATTTCGGCACACCCCTCACACGTTCGTGCCCCATAGGGAGCTCCACCGAAGGCCCCATGGCTGCCGTCCGCATGCGTCCCGCACGGCACACCCCTTTCGTGGCTCCACCGAAGGCCCCATGCTGCCGTCCGCATGCGTCCCGCACACCCATTTCGGCACACCCCTCACACGTTTCGTGGGGGGAGCTCCACCGAAGGCCCCAGTGCTGCCGTCCGCATGCGTCCCGCACACCCATTTCGGCACACCCCTCACACGTTTCGTGGCCCCATAGGGAGCTCCACCGAAGGCCCCATGGCTGCCGTCCGCATGCGTCCCGCACACCCATTTCGGCACACCCCTCACACGTTTCGTGGCCCCACAGGGAGCTCCACCGAAGGCCCCATGGCTGCCGTCCGCATGCGTCCCGCACACCCATTTCGGCACACCCCTCACACGTTTCGTGGCCCCACAGGGAGCTCCACCGAAGGCCCCAGTGCTGCCGTCCGCATGCGTCCCGCACACCAGGTGTGTGGCGTGCCGACATGGGCGTCGCGGCGCGCGGGCGCTGCCGTCGGGGTTCCCAGGGAAGCCCCCTGCAGAGGCGACGCTCAGAGTCACGAGTACCGAGAGTCACGCAGACCCAAACTGTTCACAGTCGTATACATACATTTACACTGGGCGTATCCATGCACGCATTCATGCGAATAGAATCAATCGCGCGCAGATTCATTCATAATCAGACTCGCTCGCGATCCGACTCGCATGCGCTCAAGCTTTCATATTCGGACCTATCGTCTTCGTTCGTGTTGTGTACACTGCCACGCATTTCGGCACACCCCTCATACGGCTCGTGGCCCCATAGGGAGCGCCACCGAAGAAGATATTCACAATTGCGGTACTCTCAACTGCATATGGTTGGGTCCTTCGCCAGGCTAATTCTTGTTGCTTTCCATGTGTCTTTTGTGTTTGATTTTCTGTGTGCTAGGTTTTTTTTGCCAGAGTCCTTCTGTAGAGGATGATAATAGGAATCCTTTTGTGGAGGATTTCGATAGGAATCATCCTGACGAGGGTTTCAACAAGAATCCTTGGGTGGAGGATTTCATAAAAAATCCTTGTGTGGAGGATTTCGATGGGATTCCTTCTGCGCGGGATGTCAATAGGAATCTTTCTGTGCGGGATGTTCATGGGAATCCTTCTTGTGGAGGATGCCAATAGGAACCGAGGAGTAGAAGGAGGAGGAGGCGGCGGAGGAGGTGGAGGAGGCGGCGGAAGGGTTTGACTAAATATTGAATGTGTTGTTGTTTTGTTGTTTTGTTTGTTTTTTCATTTGTCCGCTGCCAATCGCTTGGTTATATTATGTATATATATATATATATAGATAGTGTTTTTCAATCGCCAGCCGTTGATTTCCTTGTTTTTTGTTGTTGTTTC